TACACCTCTGCTGTAGCGCACACAGACACACACATACAGACACACACACACAGACAGACACACACACACAGACAGACACACACACACAGACAGACACACACACAGACACACACATACAACACTCACGCCAAAAGTTCCACACTTAGCACACACGCACGGACACATACAGACACACACATAATGCACACGCATGAATAATTAAGACTCTCTCCGACACAGTCACACACACACGCACGTGCAGATGCCTGTCCACATACATTTTTAATACTCTCACACAGACACACACACAGCTACGCCTAATGCAGACGTCATATTTCAATAGCAGCGGATTTTTGCTCAGCCAGCGGAAACGGGTCACTGCATCGTTGTGCATCACTTTCAGATGCGACGTTACGACACTCTGTACGCGACACTACTCAATGCTACACGATACACTACGACACTATACACTACACGATACACTACGACACTATACACTACTATACACTACGCTACTATACACTACGCTACTATACACTATACACTACACGATACACTACGACACTATACACTATACACTACTATACACTACGCTACTATACACTACGCTACTATACACTACACGATACACTACGCTACTATACACTACGCTACTATACACTATACACTACACGATACACTACGACACTATACACTACGCTACTATACACTACGCTACTATACACTATACACTACACGCTATACACTACACGCTATACACTACACGCTATACACTACGCTACTATCCACTACACCGCTATACACTACGCTACTCAATATACTACTATACACTATGCTACTATACACTACACTATACACTACACTATACACTATGCTACTATACACTACACTACACACTACGCTACTATACACTGCACTATACACTACGCTATACACTACACGCTATACACTACACACGACATGACTATACACTACACACTATACACTACACACTATACACTACACACTACACTACACACTACACTACACACTACACTACTACACACTACACTATTGTACACTACACACTATACATTACACACTATACACTACACACTATACACTATACACTACACACTATACACTACACACTATACACTACACACTATACACTACACACTATACACTACACACTATACACTACACTATTGTACACTACAATACTCTACCCTACTTTAGCTCTACCACGCCGTGCGTGGTGGTGCTGACCACCCACCCCCTCGTGTTCCTCAGTGCCGGTAGCCTTCATAGGTGCTACTCGCTAACAGCGCTTGCCCCACCAGTCTGTTAGAGGCTACACGGGGAGATGTTTCTTTGTGTACATGGGGTGTGGTGGTTGTTGTTGGTCTGTGTCCAATTACTCACCCACCTGCATGTGCCTGGGGCACCAGACTATCTAAAAACAGCTCACCCACTCGTCTTACCACTCACACACTCACTCACACACTCACACACACACCCACTCACCCAACCACACACTCACCTTACCACACACTCACCTAACCACACACACACTCACACACTAAACCACACACCCACACACTCACCTTGCCACACACCCACACACTCATCTTGCCACACACTCACCCAGCCACACACTCACTCACCTTGCCACACACCCACACACTCATCCACTCAGGCATCACAGATATACATAGAGAGAGATACATACATAGAGATACATAGAGAGAGAGATACATACATAGATGCCTATGTACGTCTCTCTATGTATCTCTGTGATATCTGTCTCTGCTTATGTCTGTCTATGTCTCTGGTTCTGTGTTGTATCTCTCTCTCAAATTTAGCCTTCTCAGGAAGAACGTAATCAACCAGGTAGGGTGTTGACTGTCATGTTATCCGACTCTCTGTTGTATTACATTACATTTCTAAATATACTAGATTTGTATTCTTAGGGTTTTTCGGTAAAGTCACGTAGGTAAAACATTAAAATTAATACTTTTATTAATTTTAATGTTTTAGCTACGTGACTTTACCAAAACAACCTAAGAATATGAATCGTTGCAGTCACGAAAGCTTCAAATCTAGAATTAATACTCGATTTGTGTTTCTATTTAATTTATACCTGATGCCGATGATGATGATTGTGTTGCAATCGAAACGTCGTGTGCTAGTATTCAATTTATTATTTTCTCTTTCTACGTCACTTTACCGAAAGAACCAACGTTACAAATAGCTACTCAGCGGGAACTTATAATCTGGTAAAATTAAAATTTGCTAAATTCCTCTTGATATGCAAATTCTTTTGTCAAGGCGCTCTTCCTCCGCCCTCCCAGCTTAAATAGTCGCTCCAAGCCCGGGGCTTGTCATTCAGACTCTCCTCGACAGACCTGGTCTTCACCTGAGGACGGCTGCTTGCGTTGTGGCCGAAACGTCGTGAGAATTGTATTTTATTATGTTTTATTTTTATTATTTTATTATGTTTTATTTTTTATTAATTTATTGTTTTATTTTTTATTATTTTATTGTTTTATTTTAATTATTTTATTATGCTTTATTTTTATTATTTTATTACTTCCCTTCTACGTGACTTTACCGAAAGAACCAACAAGATGAATCCCTGCAGTCACGAAAGGAGCTTTAAATCGAAAATTAAAATAGTTCAGTTACTTGCCGTGTGTGTGAAAACGTAAAAATCCTGGGTTCTGTTGTGGTGGTAGTGGTGGTGGTGGTGGATGAGGAGCGGTGGCGCTGCGGTTAGCGCCACGCTGCGCTACAAACTCCGCAGAGACCCGGAGTTCGATTCCAACGCTCACAGCCACCAACACCACCAGTGACGATTACCTGAACCGGTCCTGGGCCTCCTCCCCTAGGTCGACTCGGCCTCAAATGCATACCTGGTGTAGCTGTGTAGTGCAGTAAACATCGCTAGCACTGGGGAGACAAAGGCGGCCGGGCGTGGTGCTGGCCACCCACCCCCTTTGTGTGTGCCACAGTGCCGGTAGCCTTCATAGGCTCTGCTGCTACTAGCAGCCACTTGCCCCGACAGTCTGTTGAGGCTACACGGGGGATCTTTGTCTCTGTCTTGTGGTGTGTGTCTGTATTGTGAGTGTGTGTCTGTGTGAGTGTCTGTGCGTGTGCGTGTGTGTGTCTGTATGTCTGTGTGAGTGTGTGTGTCTGTGTGACACTTCACGTGGCCTCAAGGTGCACTTGGCCTGGCACAAGCGTCGTGGTGACGTCACTGCCACTTAGTGGCGAATGGCGGTTGTTGTTGTTGTTTGTGGTGCGTGTACATCCAGGACCCCATTCAAACCCTTAGTGGCATGGTCTCAGCCAGCTGATGAAAGTTGCAAGCGAGAATTTCATCATCGCTTGCAGCTGGGGTTGACATCGTCCCCCACTCCTCCTGATGTCGAGGGGTGAATGGGCGAGGTTTAGGACTGTGACTCATGCAGCTGCAATGGCTGCTTTGGGTACACGGTCCAGACCTCCCCAGAGACCCTGGCTGACAGAGGAGGTGTTCAGGAATGCTGAGATAAAGCGACAGGCCCACTCTCATCGGCTACAGCATCCCACGTCGGTGAATGAGGAGGCTTACCGCAGCCTTCGCTCGGAGGTTCGGAGAGCCGTGAGGCGCTGCAAGGATGGGTGGTGGTCGCGGGTTGCTGAGGAGATTAAATCTGCCTCAGTGGGCCGCGATCACAAATCACTCCATAAAAAAAGGAACCTGCAGCGCCACACCTATCACCATCATTAGTGGAAAGAATGGTGATCCGATCTTTGACCCCCAGGAACAGGTTTTCAGATTTGCTGAGCATTTTTGCGAGGTCTTGGGGGAGGGGAAATCCCTCAGGCTGGAAAACGTCATGGGGCAAAGTGGGGATGACCCTGCTGAGGCTGCGGTGCCTCAAATATTGGAAGAAGTCACCCCCTGTGAGTGGCTGGCTGAGGTGCCATCTGTTGAGGAAGTACTGAAGGCGATCCGGAGTCTGAGACCAGGAAAGGCACCGGGCAGAGATGATCTCCCAAGCGAAATGCTGAGGAAGGGTGGCGTTTGTGCACAGACTGCCCTACACGACATCATAACAACAGTCTGGACCACTGGACGGGTTCCGCAGGACTGGAAGGATGCCCTGGTGGTCCCCCTCTTTCAGAAGGGGGACCGCACAGACTGTAACAACTACAGGGGCATCTCACTCCTCAGTGTGCCGGGTAAGGTCCTGGCAAGGATTATTCAACATCGCCTTGCTAGGCACGCTGAGGAGAGGCTTGCGGAGCCCCAATGCGGTTTCAGGAAAGGGCGGTCCTGCACAGATGCCATGTTTTCTGTCCGTCTGCTACAGCAGAGGTGTAGGGAATTCCAACAAGACCTACATCTCTGCTTTATTGACCTGGTCAAGGCCTATGATACCATCAGTAGGACTGGGCTCTGGGTTGTTTTTCGTGCTTTCGGAGTCCCTGACCCTCTGCTCACGATCATTAAGGACCTTCATGATGGTGAGCGGGCCCGGGTAAAACTACGTGGCCGGGAGTCAGAGCCTTTCCCTGTACACCTTGGGGTGCGACAGGGATGTCCTCTGGCTCCCACATCATTATCTGCTGTACCGGAGGAATTTCCATCTTGTACACATGCAATGGGAGGCTGATCGATGCCCGGGAAAATCAGTCAGTCAGTCGACCCGTGGCACCTGCTGGGTCTGCCCGTGACCTCCTGCCAGCGGGCGTTCGACACTTCACGTGGCAGCCTCAATGTGCACACAGCCTGGCACAAGCGTCGTGGTGACGTCACCGCTACTTAGTGGCGAATGGCGGTTGTTGTTGGTGTCTGCGTGAGTGTGTCACTGTGTCTTTGTGTGTGTGTATGTCTGTGTGTGTGTGTCTGTGTCTGCGCGTGTGTGTCTGCGTGAGTGTGTGTGTCTGTGCGTGTCTGTGTGTATCTGCGTGTGTGTGTGTGTAACAGCCACTTGCTCCAACAGTGTGCTAAGGCTACACGGGGGATCTTTGTCTTTGTCTGTGTCTCCCAGGCACCGTCTGGATGAGCTGATGAAGACGATCCGCTGCCTCATCGTGAGCGAGAGCCACACGGAGCAGCACGACGCATACATCCTGAGGTCAGCAGCCACCACCATCATCACCACCACAACCACCACCACCACAACCACCACAACCACTACCACAACCACCACCACCACCACTACCACCACCACTACCACCATCACTACCACCACTACCACCACCATCACCACAACCAGCAGCACTACCATCACCACCACCATCACCACTACCACTACAACCATCATCACTACAACCACCACAACCACCACAACCACTACCACCAACCACCACCACAACCACCATCACCACAACCACTACCACCAACCACCACCACCACAACCACCATCACCACAACCATCACCACTACAACCACCACCACCACAACCACTACCACTACAACCACTACCACCACCACTACCACCACCACTACCACCACCACCACTACCACCACTACTACTACAACCACCACCACTACCACCACTACCACCACTACTACTACAACCACCACCACTACTACTACTACCACCACTACTACTACTACCACTACTTCCACAACCACTACTTCCACTACTACTACTACCACCACTACTACTACTACCACTACTTCCACTACCACCACTACCAACCACAACCAATACTACCACCACTACAACCACCACTACTACCACCACCACCACTACAACCGCCACCACCACTACTACCACCATCACTACCACTACTACTACCACCACTACCACCATCACAACCACTACCACCATCACTACCACCACTACCACAACTACCACTACCTCGACAACCACTTATTAGAACCACCACCACTACAACAACAACAACTACTGCAGCCGCTACACCAGCAGCGCCTTTGTGTTGACGTTGTTGACGTTGTTGTTGACGTTGTTGTTGACGTTGTTGTCGTTGTTGACATTATTGTTGATGTTGTTGTTGACAGTGAGAGCAGCCTGTTTGTGTCGTCGCGCCGCGTGATCCTCAAGACGTGCGGCTCCACGCTGCTGCTGCGAGCGCTGAGCCCGCTGCTCCAGCTCGCCAAGACGCACGCGGCGCTCACGCACATTGAGGTCTGTGCACTACCACTACTAACACTAACTACTACTACTAACTACTACTATTAACACTACTACTAACACTACTACTAACTACTACTAACTAGCACTACTACTAACTACTACTAACTAGCACTACTACTAACTACTTCTACTACTAACTACTACTAACTACTACTACTAACTACTAACACTACTAACTAGCACTAACTAGCATTACTAACACTACCACTACCTAGCACTACTAACACTAGTAACTAGCGCTGAGCCCGCTCCTCCAGCTCGCCAAGACACACGCAGCCCTCACACACATAGAGGTCTGTGCACCACCACTAGCACTACTAACTAACACTACTGTGTGTGTGTGTCTGTGTGTGTGCGTTGTGTGTGTGTCTGTGTGTGTGTGTTGATTGTGTGTCTGTGTGTGTGTGTGTGTCTGTGTGTCTGTGTGTGTGTGTTGATTGTGTGTCTGTGTGTGTGTGTCTGTGTGTGTGTGTGTGTCTGTGTGTGTGTGTGTGTCTGTGTGTCTGTGTGTGTGTGTTGATTGTGTGTGTCTGTGTGTGTGTGTTGATTGTGTGTCTGTGTTGATTGTGTGTCTGTGTTGATTGTGTGTCTGTGTGTGTGTCTGTGTGTGTGTGTGTCTGTGTGTCTGTGTGTATGTGTAAGTGTCTGTCTGTGTGTGTAAGTGTCTGTCTGTGTGTGTTGATTGTGTGTGTGTGTGTGTGTTGATTGTGTGTGTGTGTGTTGATTGTGTGTGTGTGTCTGTGTTGATTGTGTGTGTGTCTGTGTTGATTGTGTGTGTGTGTGTGTCTGTGTTGATTGTGTGTGTGTGTGTGTCTGTGTTGATTGTGTGTGTGTGTGTGTCTGTGTTGATTGTGTGTGTGTGTGTGTCCGTGTGTTGATTGTGTGTGTGTGTGTGTCCGTGTGTGTGTCTGTGTCCGTGTGTGTGTGTGCGTGTCTGTGTTGATTGTGTGTGTGTGTGTGTGTCTGTGTTGATTGTGTGTGTGTGTGTGTCTGTGTTGATTGTGTGTGTGTGTGTGTCTGTGTTGATTGTGTGTGTGTGTGTGTCTGTGTTGATTGTGTGTGTGTGTGTGTCTGTGTTGATTGTGTGTGTGTGTGTCTGTGTTGATTGTGTGTGTGTGTGTCTGTGTTGATTGTGTGTGTGTGTGTGTCTGTGTTGATTGTGTGTGTGTGTGTGTCTGTGTTGATTGTGTGTGTGTGTGTGTCTGTGTTGATTGTGTGTTGTGTGTGTGTGCGTGTCTGTGTTGATTGTGTGTGTGTGTGTGTGCGTGTCTGTGTTGATTGTGTGTGTGTGTGTGTGCGTGTCTGTGTTGATTGTGTGTGTGTGTGTGCGTGTCTGTGTTGATTGTGTGTGTGTGTGTGCGTGTCTGTGTTGATTGTGTGTGTGTGTGTGCGTGTCTGTGTTGATTGTGTGTGTGTGTGTGCGTGTCTGTGTTGATTGTGTGTGTGTGTGTGTGCGTGTCTGTGTTGATTGTGTGTGTGTGTGTGTGCGTGTCTGTGTTGATTGTGTGTGTGTATGTGTGCGTGTCTGTGTTGATTGTGTGTGTGTGTGTGTGCGTGTCTGTGTTGATTGTGTGTGTGTGTGTGTGTGCGTGTCTGTGTTGATTGTGTGTGTGTGTGTGTGTGCGTGTCTGTGTTGATTGTGTGTGTGTGTGTGTGTGCGTGTCTGTGTTGATTGTGTGTGTGTGTGTGTGTGCGTGTCTGTGTTGATTGTGTGTGTGTGTGTGTGTGTGCGTGTCTGTGTTGATTGTGTGTGTGTGTGTGTGTGCGTGTCTGTGTTGATTGTGTGTGTGGTGTGTGTGTGCGTGTCTGTGTTGATTGTGTGTGTGTGTGTGTGTGCGTGTCTGTGTTGATTGATTCTCACTGTCAGGAGATCTTCTACTCGCGGAAGAACTTCTTGAAGCCGAGCTCCCAGCAGTTCCCGCACCGCAGCTTCCAGGAGGAAGCCGCTTTCCTGGAGCGCATTCTGCCTGGTACACACAGACACACACACAGACACACACAGACACACACGCAGGCACGCAGACACACACACAGACACACACACAGACACACACACACAGACACACACTGACACACACACACAGACACACTGACACACAGAGACCCACAGACTCACCACACAGAGACCCACAGACTCAACACACAGAGACCCACAGACTCAACACACAGAGACCCACAGACTCATCACACAGAGACCCACAGACTCATCACACAGAGACCCACAGACTCACCACACAGAGACCCACAGACTCACCACACAGAGACCCACAGACTCACCACACAGAGACCCACAGACTCACCACACAGAGACCCACAGACTCACCACACAGAGACCCACAGACTCGCCACACAGAGACCCACAGACTCGCCACACAGAGACCCACAGACTCGCCACACAGAGACCCACAGACTCAGAGAGAGACTGACCACAGAGACCCACAGACCCACAGACTCACCACACTGAGACCCACAGACTCACTCACACACAGACCCACAGACTCGCCACACAGACACCCACAGACTCGCCACACAGACACCCACAGACTCACCACACAGAGACCCACAGACTCACCACACAGAGACCCACAGATACCCACAGACTCACCACACAGAGACCCACAGACTCACCACACAGAGACCTACAGACTCACCACAGACTCACCACACAGAGACCCACAGACTCACTCACACACAGACCCACAGACTCACCACACAGAGACCCACAGACTCACTCCACACACAGACCCACACTCACCACACAGAGACCCACAGACTCACTCACACACAGACCCACAGACTCACCACACAGAGACCCACAGACTCACCACACAGAGACCCACAGACTCACCACACAGAGACCCACAGACTCACAGAGAGACTCACACAGAGACCCACAGACTCACCACACAGAGACCCACAGACTCACCACACAGAGACCCACAGACTCACCACACAGAGACCCACAGACTCACCACAGACTCACCACACAGAGACCCACAGACTCACTCACACACAGACCCACAGACTCACCACACAGACCCACAGACTCACTCCACACACAGACCCACACTCACCACACAGAGACCCACAGACTCACTCACACACAGACCCACAGACTCACCACACAGAGACCCACAGACTCACCACACAGAGACCCACAGACTCACCACACAGAGACCCACAGACTCACCACACAGAGACCCACAGACTCACCACAGACTCACCACACAGAGACCCACAGACTCACTCACACACAGACCCACAGACTCACCACACAGAGACCCACAGACTCACTCACACACAGACCCACAGACTCACCACACAGAGACCCACAGACTCACCACACAGAGACCCACAGACTCACAGAGAGACTCACACAGAGACCCACAGACTCACCACACAGAGACCCACAGACTCACTCACACACAGACCCACAGACTCACCACACAGAGACCCACAGACTCGCCACACAGAGACCCACAGACTCGCCACACAGAGACCCACAGACTCGCCACACAGAGACCCACAGACTCACTCACACACAGAGACCCACAGACTCACTCACACACAGACCCACAGACTCACCACACAGAGACCCACAGACTCACCACACAGACCCACAGACTCACAGAGAGACTCACACAGAGACCCACAGACTCGCCACACAGAGACCCACAGACTCGCCACACAGAGACCCACAGACTCACTCACACACAGAGACCCACAGACTCATCACACAGAGACCCACAGACTCACAGAGAGACTCACACAGAGACCCACAGACTCACCACACAGAGACCCACAGACTCACTCACACACAGAGACCCACAGACTCATCACACAGAGACCCACACATCATTACCGACACTTCACTTGAAATTCTTCACAGGGATTCCTGACATTTCTAACCGGTTGGTGCCTCTCTCCCCGGGCGAGCCGCCCGACATTCAAATTAAAGTTACCCACAAACCCCTCTGGGTGGGGGGGGGGGGGGTGGGGGGGGGGGTCTGCGTCTGATCTGGGGGGCCGCGCTGCAATCGGCTGCAGTCGCCTGGAGGTCCCTCAGTGCAGGGAGGGCGTCTGGAGAGGTGTGTGTGTGAATCGGGGGTGAGTGTGGGGGGTGTGTGGGGTGTGTGTGGGGTGTGGTGGGGGTGTGTGTGGGGTGTGTGTGAATCGGGGGTGAGTGTGGGGTGTGTGGTGGGGGTGAGTGGGGGGTGTGGGGGGGGGTGATGGTGGGGGTGTGGTAGGGGTGTGTGTGGTGGTGTGTGTGAGGTGTGTGTGTGTGTGAATCGGGGGTGAGTGTGGGGTGTGTGTGGGGTGTGTGTGGGGTGTGGTGGGGGTGTGGTGGGGGTGTGTGTGAGGTGTGTGTGTGTGTGAATCGGGGGTGAGTGTGGGGTGTGTGGTGGGGGTGTGTGGGGGGTGTGGGGGGGGGTGATGGTGGGGGTGTGGTAGGGGTGTGTGTGGTGGTGTGTGGGGTGGGGGTGTGTGTGGGGTGTGTGGTGGGGGTGATGGTGGGGGTGTGGTAGGGGTGTGTGTGGTGGTGTGTGGGGTGGGGGTGTGTGTGGGGTGTGTGGTGGGGGTGAGTGGGGGTGTGTGTGGGGTGTGTGTGGGGTGTGGTGGGGGTGTGTGTGGGGTGTGTGTGTGTGTGAATCGGGGGTGAGTGTGGGGTGTGGGGGGGGGTGAGTGGGGGGTGTGGGGGGGGGGTGATGGTGGGGGTGTGGTAGGGTGTGTGTGGTGGTGTGTGTGGGGTGTGTGTGGTGGTGTGTGTGGGGTGTGTGTGTGGTGTGTGTGGGTTGTGGTGGGGGTGTGTGTGGGGTGTGTGTGGGGTGTGTGTGGGGTGTGTGTGGGGTGTGGTGGGGGTGTGTGTGGGGGTGTGTGTGGGGGTGTGTGTGGGGGTGTGTGTGGGGTGTGTGTGGGGTGTGTGTGGGGTGTGTGTGGGGTGTGTGTGGGGTGTGTGTGGGGTGTGTGTGTGTGTGAATTGGGGGTGAGTGTAGGGTGTGTGGTGGGGGTGAGTGGGGGGTGTGGGGGGGGGGGTGATGGTGGGGGTGTGGTAGGGGTGTGTGTGGTGGTGTGTGTGGGGTGGGGGTGTGTGTGGGGTGGGGTGTGTGTGGTGTGGTGGGGGTGTGTGTGGTGTGGTGGGGGTGTGTGTGGGGGTGGGTTGTGGTGGGGGTGTGTGTGTGGGGGTGTGTGTTGGGGGGTGGGGGTGATGGGTGTGGTGGGGGGCGGGTGGTGGGGGGTGTGTGTGTGTAACTGTGTGTCTTTGTAACTGTGTCTGTGTATGTGTGTGTCTCTGTGTGTGTGTAAGTCTGTCTCTGTGTGTGTCTCTGTGTAACTGTGTGTGTCTCTACAAGGTGCTCCTCGCAATTCCGTTCAGCCATTCCCCTCATGGCGTTGATGGCCACCACAGCCGCCAACGGGGGGGGGGGGGGGGGGGGCTCTGGACGGGTGCGAGGGGCTGGTAACCCCTCCACCTTCAATTGTTTACCACTAAAAAAAAATCTCCAAATCAGCTTGTACCGGAGGCGTCTATGACGTCTCCTGGCCAAACCCCGATTTGGCGGAGCCAGGAGATTGAATCTTCACCCTCGGGGCTCCTCCAGAAACGGCAATAAACCACTACGGATGACCACGTGGAATGTTGGAACGCGTGGTTTAATGTTAATGATGCCCCCACCGAAGATGAACATCAGTGGAGGAATGCAGGCAAGGCCAATGGGTCAGATGCCTTCTGTGACCTCCTGTCACAGGTGCTGGCTAAAGTGGCCCCTCGGGATAGAGTCATCTTGTTGGGTGACTTCAATGCCCGAGTTGGTCATGATGCTGGCACCTGGTCTGGAGTGATTGGAAGGCATGGGCCAGATCAGCTCAATAACAACGGCAGGAGGCTGCTAGATTTCTGTGCAGCCCATGGGCTTGTAATTACCAACACGCTGTTCCGGCATCGGCGCATCCACACAACATCGTGGATGCATGCCGGGTCCAAGCAAGAACATCTGCTGGACTACGTAGTGACGGACCAGCGGATGCGAGCCCATGTCCTTGACACCAGGACCATCCACACAACATCATGGATGCATGCCGGGTCCAAGCAAGAACATCTGCTGGACTACGTAGTGACGGACCAGCGGATGCGAGCCCATGTCCTTGACACCAGGACCATCCACACAACATCATGGATGCATGCCGGGTCCAAGCAAGAACATCTGCTGGACTACGTAGTGACGGACCAGCGGATGCGAGCCCATGTCCTTGACACCAGGACCATCCACACAACATCATGGATGCATGCCGGGTCCAAGCAAGAACATCTGCTGGACTACGTAGTGACGGACCAGCGGATGCGAGCCCATGTCCTTGACACCAGGACCATCCACACAACATCATGGATGCATGCCGGGTCCAAGCAAGAACATCTGCTGGACTACGTAGTGACGGACCAGCGGATGCGAGCCCATGTCCTTGACACCAGGACCTACCGTGGAGCTGATCTGCCCTCTGACCATCGACTAGTCATCTGTAAGATGCGCCTGCCATTCTTCCACTCCTGTGGTGGGTGTACACCCAGGACCCCATTCAAACCCTTAGTGGCATGGTCTCAGCTAGCTGATGAAAGTTGCAAGCGAGAATGTCATCGTCGCTTGCGACTGGGGTTGGCATCGTCCCCCACTCCACCTGATGTCGAGGGTAAAATGGGCGAGGTTTAGGACTGTGGCTCATGCAGCTGCAATGGCTGCTTTGGGTACGCGGTCCAGACCTCCCCAGAGACCCTGGCTGACAGAGGAGGTGTTCAGGCTGGCTGAGATAAAGCGACAGGCCCACTCTCATCGTCTACAGCATCCCACGGCCCAACGTGCACCTAGCTTGGCACGAGCGTCATGGTGACGTCACCGCCACTCAGTGGCGAATGTTGTCTCTATGGGGAGCGGTGGCGCAGCAGTTAGCGCTTGGGCCTCCCCTAGGTTGACTCAGCCTTAAAATGAGTACCTGGTGTAGCGGTGTCTTGGATGTAGCCACTGGGGAGACAAAGGCGGCCGGGCGTGGTGCTGGCCACCCACCCCCTCGTGTGCCGCAGTGCCGGTAGCCTTC